GCAGAAGCTGCACCTCCCTGGGTTGGCGGGGGTGGGGGGGGTGGCAGTGCTGGGGAAGGAGCCACCGCCTTGGGCATGTGATTTCAGGGTAGGATTGCAGGTTGAGCTGTTGGGGCTGTGATGGGGACTGTGGGCATGGGAATGGCAAGGAGGCAGCCCTGTGCCCAGGATCAGACCACATGGATGTCTCCTGCTCTGTGACCTTGGGCCAGGCCCTTCCTCTGCCTCAGTTTCCCCATCTGTAGGGATGTCCCCACTCATCGCCTGCTGCCTGATACAGCTGCAGGGAGTAGAGGAACAGCTGTGGATGAGTGCTGGGGTCTGGGTGTTCTTGGGAGCTGAGTGTTGTCTCCACAGAGCCCTTGAGCTGCCCTCAGGTGGTGTGTTCCCCCTGGGGACAGCAGATCTGTCAGAGGAGGCGATGCAGTGAGGGGACCCTGTCCTCAGGTGGTTCCTCCCACCTAAGGCCCATGTCCTTCAGAGTCCTTGGTGGTGTGTAATCTATGGGAGTGGCCACGTACTCACTTCCTTCCCACCAGCCCATCTGTGGGGCTGCCAGTACCCACAGTGAGAACTGCGCCAGTTGGGCACCCTGCCTGCATCCCCTGCCTGGCCCTGCTTGGTGCGTGATGCTCCTGCACCCAGCTTCGAGGTCACTGCCAGTAGGCTGGCTGGCAGTCATGGGCATCTGGAGGGGAACCCTGGTCCCTTGTCCCTGGGTAATGTCCCTGGCCAGCATCTGGGCTCACAGCCTCAATTTCCCTTGCAGGCTGGGACAATGGCCATGAAGGTGAGACTGGAGCCCTCCCAGACAGGGAAACTGAGTCAGATGCTCCTGCACCCAGCTTCGAGGTCACTGCCAGTAGGCTGGCTGGCAGTCATGGGCATCTGGAGGGGACCCCTGGTCCCTTGTCCCTGGGTAATGTCCCTGGCCAGCATCTGGGCTCACAGCCTCAATTTCCCTTGCAGGCTGGGACAATGGCCATGAAGGTGAGACTGGAGCCCTCCCAGACAGGGAAACTGAGTCAGGGGCAGTCCTGGTCTCTGTATGGGGACACAGCCATTTCAGACCAAGGGATTTTAAAGTTACTTTAGCTGTCATTTTGGGATCAGGCTGCAGCGTTTCCCAGGATGGTGTCCGGAGTCTGACCTCTGCCTCTTTGTCCCAGGCACAGTGAATCCAGGCCAAGTGGGCTATGCTGTGATCCCTCACCCTGTTGGCAAAACTCCCTCAGTCTCAGGCCCCCTTCGATCTGTCCCATCCTGTGGTCCACCTGTTCCATCCCATGATCCTCTTCTCCCAAGCCCTCTTGGGTGTTCCCATCTCATCCCAAATCTCTCACCCTTGATTCCATCCCGAGATCCCATCCCATGATACACCTGTCCAATGCTAAATCCTATTATCCTATCCCTTCCCTTCCCTTCCCTTCCCTTCCCTTCCCTTCCCTTCCCTTCCCTTCCCTTCCCTTCCCTTCCCTTCCCGGGAGCATTTCTATGTGATTTGTCCTGCCTTCTGCCACCACCAGGATGCCCAGAGCTGGGTTTTTTTTCCCAGGATGGCCACTTCTC